CACTAATCCGGTTGTCCTACTATATCTAGCCACCACTAATCCGGTTGTCCTACTATATCTAGCCACCACTAATCCGGTTGTCCTACCATATCTAGCCACCACTTAACTGCTTGTTCCACTATGTATCTAGCCATCACTATTCCGGTTGTCCTACTATATCTACAATGTAGCCACCACTAATCAGGCTGTCCCTCTATCTAGCCAACTCTAATACGGTTGTCCCACTATATCTACAATGCAGCCATCACTAATCTGGTTGTCCCACTATACAGCCAACTCTATTCCGGCTGTCCCACTATCTATCCACCTCTATTCCGGCTGTCCCACTATCTAGCCACCTATATTCATCCGGATGTCCCACTATCTACCCACCATTCATCCGGTTGTTGCATTATCTAGCCACCACTAACCCGGTTGTCCCAATATACCTAGCCACCTCCAATCCGTTTGTCCCACTAACTAGCCACCTTTATTTATCCGGATGTCCCACTATCTAGCCACCACTAATCTGTTTGTCCCACTATCTAGCCACATCTAATCCGGTTGTTCCACTATCCAGCCTCCACTAATCTGTTTGTCCCACTATCTAGCCACTAATAATCCGGTTGTCCCACTGTGTATCTAGCCACTTATCCGGTTGTCCTCTTTCATAGCCACCATTTCTCTATTCGTCCGACTATCTAGCCACCTCTTATCCGTTTGTCCCACTTTCTAGCAACCTTGATTTATCCGGATGTCCCACTATATAGCCACCACTAATCTGTTTGTCCCACTATCTAGTCACCACTAATCCAGTTGTCCCACTATCCGGCAGCCACTTATCCGGTTGTCCAACTGTCTAGTAACTACTAATCTGGTTGTCCCACTATCTAGCAATCTCTAATCCGGTTTTCTCACTATCTAGCCACAACTTCTCTGTTTGTCCCACTATCTAGCCACCATTAATCTTGTTGTCCCACTATCTAGCCACCACTAATCTTGTTGTCCCACTAACTAGCCACCTTTATTTATCCGGATGTCCCACTATCTACCCACCACTAATCTTGTTGTCCCCCTATCTAGCCGCCTGTAATCCGGTTGTCCCACGATCGAGCCACCACTAATCTGTTTGGCCCACTATCTTGCCACCTGTAATACGGTTGTCCCACTATCTATCCACCATTAATATTGTTGTCCCACTATCTAGCTACCACTAATCTTGTTGTCCCCCTATCTAGCCACCTGTAAGCCGGTTGTCCCACTATCTATCCACCACTAATCTTGTTGTCCCACTAACTAGCCACCTTTATTTATCCGGATGTCCCACTATCTACCCACCATTCATCCGGTTGTTGCATTATCTAGCCACCACTAACCCGGTTGTCCCAATATACCTAGCCACCTCCAATCCGTTTGTCCCACTAACTAGCCACCACTTATCTTGTCCCACTATCTACCCACCACTAATCTTGTTGTCCCACTAACTAGCCACCACTTATCTTGTTCCACTATGTAGCCACCATTAATCTTGTTGTCCTACTATCTAGCCACCATTAAGCATGTTGTCCCACTATCTAGCTACCACTAATCTTGTTGTCCCACTAACTAGCCACCACTTATCTTGTCCCACTCTCTAGCCACCACTAATCTTGTTTTCCCACTATCTAGCCACCAGTAATCCGGTTGTCCCACTGTCTAGCCACCACTAATCTGGTTGTCCCACTATCTAGCCCCCTGTAATCCGGTTGTCCCACTGTCTAGCCACCACTAATCTGGTTGTCCCACTATACAGCCAACTCTATTCCGGCTGTCCCACTATCTAGCCACCTGTAATCCGGTTGTCCCACTATCTAGCCACCACTAATCTGTTTGTCCCACTATCTAGCCACCTGTAATCCGGTTGTCCCACTATCTAGCCACCTGTAATCCGGTTGTCCCACTATCTATCCACCACAGATCTGGTTGTAGCAATAACTTTGTTGTAAACCGTGTGACGTGTTATTGAATATTCACTGAATATCAAGCCAACTTTCAATCTATAAATACATTTATTTCTAATCGAAAGATATATTAGATATAGTACATGTAATTTCAATTCCTTAATGGAATACATTTTCTGAAAACAACTGTAATTTCAATATATGAATGGTGTCATGTGAATAGAAACTTCTTATATTTTCATTTCGAACCCTAAGAACACCCCTGGTGCAATGTAGTTATGGCACAAAGAACATGATAACTATATATGACCTTGACTGTCACTAGGACGGCCAACTATCTAAATCAATCAAAACATTTCTTAACATTTGTTTTTTACCAGTCACAGTAATGAAATAAAAGCAGATCACTATTTAAAAAACGAAAAGTTGTTTTCAAAATGTGTTAAGCAGCGTTTAATAGACAATTTCATTCAAAAGCGGAACGATTTTGTCGAAAATTCATCAAAATGTTTTTTTACGAGTTTTTTTATAAATAGTTTTACGCTCCAGTAATATTTGACAAAGTCTATTCTGCATGTACTAGTAGTACGGTCTAGATTTCAAACTTCGTATATTGTACAATTATTAACTTATTTCAAGGTTATGAACGTGTGGTATAGATTTGTCTCCTATATAATGAACGGGATAACGAGTATCCTCTCAGTGTATCTCAGGTGATTATATAATGTGTTTTACTATAAATTGTCCATTTGTAATCAAGCCTTACAACACGGCCAAGTTACCGAAATAATTATTCACCTTTTTCTTTAAAACATGTCCTCTTAGGGGATCCTGCTAATTATAAATGTCCATTTTCCACTTTATAAATATATTTTTAAAAAATAATGTAATCGCATAAATAATGCCTATACTCAATTTTAGACAGGTATTTGAATAGAAAAGTGAAGTTACATACACACTGTTCATAGTTGTGTATGACCTGTACAGGATAATACTTCCTTCTAGATACTGTCAGTCTAGAAAGTTTTTCACAAATCCTGTACTCGGTGATGTCAAATCCATATCATTATAGAGGATTTTTATTTCATTGTTATTATTGTATAAATAGAGAAAAATACATGCCTTTTTTCCATATCAAACCAAGTATCAACCCGAGACTGCAATATCAGCCCGAGGGCTGATATTGGTCGAGGGTTGATACTTGGTGTGATATGGAAAAAGGCATGTATTATTCTGTTTATTACATACTTACTTAAAAAAGCTACTATCTTCTGATCTATTTTTCTTTTGAAACGTTGAAAAACGAAACATTTCCAAAAGGGATGTGATACGGGTTTTGCGGGCTGATACGGCGGGGGCTGATACGGCTTTTGGGGTGTGATACGGCGAGGGCTGATATGGGTTAGAGTAATTATGTCGTATCGCATATACAAAAACCCTGTATTTATTAGTAAATATGTAATAAATGTTGTTATAATATGCCTATGAACCGCAAGGCTTTAGGCTCATAAACAATATAATACAATACCATTTTGATAGGTTATGTCAAAATTCAAATATATGATTAGTTACATGTATGAATTCCGATTTTTACATTTGGTTTTTGAACATGATGGCGTCAAAATTTAATACAGAAAAATGCAATATATATGTATTACTTGCATATGTGAACAGGTAGGAACTCGTGTATTGCTTGTTATTAACTGGTTGGCGTTATTCTAAATGTTTATAGTGTCTACAACAAAAGGCAGGGATCGTCCTATATTTTGACCAATGGATCAAATCAGCTTTGGATATTGATTCACCTTGGTTTAACCTTGAATGTAGTTTATATTGAAAAAATAACAATTCAATATATGAGGAACTACATAACAATTTAGTTCAAAATTGATTGCAATTAATATAAGCCCATCTCCCTGAAGGGTAAGTGAGCAATGGCCGTGGTGCGTCGTCCGTCGTCCCTCCGTCGTCCGTGGTGCGTCGTCCGTCGTCCGTCCGAACTAGAATCACGATAACTGACCGGCACTTCCTGGGATAAGGCCAAAACATTTGGCGAATGAAGTTATCTTGACATTATTCAATATCACAGGGGTCAAATGTGTTGAAAGTTTGGCCAGTAGCTTGTTTGGATGATGAGCCATCATGTGTATTGAAAGGAAAGACTTTCACCCATAATCAAGGTAACAGAGGTCAAATGTGGTTAAAACCTGTAAATGACTTCTTCTGAATAATCAAATGTCTTATATGCTGGGATGAAAGGCTATCGAGTTTTTGTTTTTGAATAACCTTTATAAATGTTCAATGTCAAAAGAGTCAAATGTGTTAAAATCTTGTAACAGGTTCTTTTGTGCCATAGGTAATGAAAAAGAGTGTGTATTTTTTTTAGTCTATTTACATGTATTTTTATTTTTGTCCAGTTTGAAGGCTAAACTTGTCAGATTAATAGCAGGTGAGCGATGCAGGCCCGTTTGGGTCATTCGGTGAATGCGTGTGTGATAGATACAGCAAAGAAGTGTTTTCGTTTGTTTTTTATAATTTTTGCTGGGAACCTGTTTCATTTGTCAGTAAAATATATGGCATATCATTAATTTGACTATAATGTTATGATTTCAGGCAGAAAGAAGTACCCGGATACAACACCGATAGGTTTCCCATTAAAGGAGTCGGGTATGGGACAATTAACATTGCCAAATCATCCAACCCTCTCTCTTTTAACCTCTCGTGGTGTTAATCTCAATGGTTACGTGTTTATTTCCATGTTTACATGTTTATCTCCATGTTTACATGTTTATATCCATGGTTACGTGTTTATCCCCAAGGTTACGTGTTTATCTCCATGGTTACGCATTTGATGCTATGTATGCGTGTTTGTGGCCTTTGTAGTCATGGTCACAAACACGCATATATAGCATCAGACACTTTTACTGCCTATAACTTTTGCAAATATTTATTTTCGCGATTGAGCTTCCAACAGCATTTTTGACTTTGCGTAGCAACGGTTGTAATTTATCTGTTTATGCATTTTGAATCGATTTTAACTCTAGCGATATTCTCTCCTCGCAAATTTACAAGAAAATATCTCGTAAATAAAAGGTGATGAACAGTACCTAACAACAGACAACATGTGTGTTTGTGTTAGGTGTTATAGGTAATGATCGCGTGAAGGTTCTTCCATCCTAACACTGTTTTCCTCTCAAATGATATAACCATCTCAAAATCCAACCTTCACCTATTTGTTTTTTCAACTAATCTTGCACCACTAATCCGGATGTCACACTTTCTAGGCACCACTAATCCGGATGTCACACTTTCTAGGCACCACTAATCCGGATGTCACACTATCTAGACACCACTAATCTGGATGCCACACTATCTAGATGTTATATCGCTGAGGGAGATATGGCAGAAAAATAGGTTATAAAGTGTTGGTTATTTGAACTCTGTTAAAACGACATCACGGTGAAAAATATTTTTCAATGACTTTTTCTTTAAATACTGCACGAATTTATAAAGTAAGTCTAACCTCACGGTAAAATGACGGTCGGATTTTGCTAATACATATTCATATATATGTACTCATATATGAGGGGATCATTTTCCAAGTCTCTAAACGGGCATGTATCGGATTGCGTTTACTATGTACATTGTAATTCCATACAGGTTGTGAGAAGGGATGAAATAAGTTTTATGATGGAGCCCTCAGTGGAATAGTTTAAATCTTTTTAATTTGTTCTTGCTTTGTCATGCAACAGTTCATATTTTAATGTGATACAGACATAAAATGCATTATCGAGTAACAATGACATACATGATTAATTTATGAGTTCAGATATATGTAACATCAGAAGACGTAATGAAAACTGAATAAAGTCACAGTTCACGTTGTAAAAAAGCTCTTGCAGCCGAGAATGTCTTCTGTTTCGGACAATTGGGACGAGGCATATTTATAATCGGGATTAGATTGGTTCAAAATTGTTTACCAAAAAAACAACACTGTGCATGACCTTAGGTGTGTGTATGCAGGAGACAGGATATGTTGGTTGTGCTTGCCTCCTTGTGATAGCGCGGATCTGATGCCGACTTTATAGTGCTATCTTAGGAAATCCCATTCCGTAGGCACCAAGCACAGATTTGTGCCCGGTCACATTATATTAACAACGGGTGAACCAGTTGTTGCCATTAACCTTCTTGCTGAACGTAAAGCAGGGAATAACAACTACAGTTTTTAAGGACTTTGGTATGTCCTGGCCTAGGGACTAAACCCATTGCCTTCCTTACATGGGCAAACGCTCAACATTCAAGCCAAAAGTGAGGTGTTGCCAAGCAAGGCGCTATGAAATATAGGAAGTTAGAAGTAGAAAGAAAGAGAAAGATCCCAAATATTGCAATCGGTGCAGTAGATTTGTAGAAGACACAATTTGCCAAAAATGTTTATTGTTTGTGAGGACTCAAATGACTTACTTCGTGTTAGATAAAGCATGTATACATGAACCGCATGGTTTAAATGAAAGGGTTAAAAGAAAGAAAAAAAGCAATAATATCAATAAGAGCTAGCACCCATCTGTCAAAAATAAATAAATAGATAAAGTAAAAGTCAATGAATAAATGAAGATGTTTCTCAATTTAAAATGAACATCTTTAGATAGCATATAAATGTTTCTAATGATCCTTACTTTTTATCATCTTTTGAAAACTTATTTGATAATTTGATTTAACATACAGGCCAAAGAACCGCAACATTTGAGATTTTCTTGTACTATCGAGATTTTATCCCTAGTGTCCGGTCGATATGACCAAACAGAAAGAGGAGTGTACACTGCTTGATCAATGTTTACCTAGAGATTTGGATCGATGCAACACACTGATGCCACTACATCATCACCTAACGGGGAAAGTCAGTGCACTTTCAACGAGTTCGTCATGCATTTCTGTTGCCGTTTCGTTACACGTGTTTGAACACACAAACAGTCATACCCACGCTTGATTGAGGTACAAATAGTGTTTATTGCCAGGAGAGAATTATAATCGTTCATTGTAAAGACTGGCGTTTCTCTCAATGTTTGTGTGATCTTGTTTATCAATTAACATCTATTGTCATGGTTACCGTGCTGACGTAAGAGCGTCAAAGCGACAGACTACTATATATCAGATTTTCTCATCTAGTGTTCTCGCAGCATATGTTATTGAGTGCTATTTTTAATTACGAAATAAAAATAAGATTATAAAAGTATCCAGGCTTAGTTAAGCTTCTTTTGAGGCTGGCGATTTAATTTGAAAACAGTTCTTGATCTTCTACATTGAATCTGACAGTTTGTGTTAAGAACCACAAACTAAATCTTTCAACGAGCCACTTGCTGATGAATAGGAAGTCGACTTTAGGTGGTGAATTGGCAAATGTACGATTAAGGCGTTTTTCGTACTTCTTTGACGCGTTTTTAGGAGTATAAGTGGTACAAGAAGGATGTGGCGAATGATTGACTTCCTGTTAACCGTCTCGGTACATGACGAAAGCAAGTTATTTTGGAAAATGGGTCTATGGTTCTTTACATGTGGTGTTATTTTAGGACATTTTCAAGTATGTTTCAAACTCCATTAAAACGGGGGGTCGCGTAGGCTAGGTGGTTAAGGCGTCAGACATTTCCAAAAAAACGTCAGACATTCTGCTACCACTAGCCCTCCACCACTGGGTCGCGGGTTCCACACCTAAGTTTAGCAGTAGCCAGGTACTGGCCGTAGGTTGGTGGTCTTTTCTCCGGGAACTATTGCTTTCCTTCACTACCAAAACCTGGCACGTCCTTAAATGGCCATAGCTGTTAATAGGACGTAAAACACAAACAAATCAAGCCATTAAAACGATTTAAATACCGAAAGTTAAGACCGGTTTTAATTTTAATATATAGAGGTTACACAACGAGTGTTTGTTGAATATGGTATTTATTTCACTCGAGTTAGTTAATTTTCAAAAATTACAAAAGACACGAGCTTTAGCGAGTGTCTTTCTGTAACTTTTGAAAATTAACTAACGAGAGTGAAATAAATCCCATACTCAACAACCACGAGTCGTGTGATCTGTTTCTACCACAATCTCATGATCAGTCGGAAATAACATACACACATGTGTTTGTTGACAAGGCTGGCGTAGTGATATGACCCATATGTAAAAAGTCACTCATTAATATTCAAAAATGACTTTCTTTTTACAAGTTTATTTATTGTCAAAATTAATGTTTCGGCAACAACTTAACGAAAAAATAAAATTGATGAACGACTTTAAATATTGAGAGTAGCAGTATTGCATAATTTATGTAAATTAACCACGGACTATTTGCGCGTAAGCATATCGTACGAAGTCTGCCTCCCGCCAAGTGATGAACTCACTGTAACTCACCGTTGTAGACGAACTTATCGCTGCCAATATCCACAACCATAGGCCTACGTTTCTTCGTGACGGTTCTATGGTTGACGTTTATAGTGAAAGTTTAGCCATAGTCAGACCGTCTAAATAGCGATAACGGGACGTTGGGAGAACGAAATATTTCCCGACACTGTGACAGATCGATCTTGTTTCGGTTTCCCGACCTGGACACGCGACGGTGTGACGTCGAAACGATATCGAGCGTCTGTAGCAATTTTGCCTGAAACTAGCGATCAAATCTTTTAAGTTTCATCTTTTAATATTGCCTTAATAACCCCCTTTTCCGCATAACCTCACAATGTCACCAACATTTGTCGGATGTTGACAGCCGACGACGTACACAAAACAGCAGGTGGCAAAAAGCACGTGGAAAAAGTCTCCCCGGTCAAAGTTCATCTTCTCGACCAATCAAAACTCTTGAAGGTCATATACCACGTGTGGTATATAACTCATATTTATCTAACAGTCTGCGTGTTTATAAAATGAGAGTGGAATAACACAGTGTATTGTGGTAGAAATACATGTATATGACAAATGTACTTAATGGAGCGAGTGTACATCTACAAACACAAAACAGCTGCTCTTTCTGGTGAAATTATCATGGTTCAGCCAATCATAGACGTATATATGCTACTCTGCATCTGATATACCGGGGACATAAGACACCCTCCATTACACCTACATCCAGTGTGTTCTTGCAGTAACTCCCCGGATAATATAAATAAGTCAACAGATTTTAGAGTAAAAAGTTAGGAGTCTAGAGTCAAGAAATGTACGTTAACGTCGCACACAGGAACAACAAGACAACATTAGTACTGTAGTGATTTTTGCAACAAACATCTGTATGAATAAACAGAACAACAATCGCAATACACATCAGTTGTAAAGGTCCCTAACGAGTGATTGTTGGTAAATATTTTTTATCGAACTTGATGTCATAATTAGAAGATTGATCAAAGAAATCACGTCCAGGGTGTAAGCTACTGGTGGGTAATCAGCCGGGAATGGTTAAACCTATAGTGGTTACGGGAGAAAATAAATTACAAGATGTGTTCAGAAAAATGAGAGCTCTCGCAAAATTACAATACATTAAGATCAGTGCTATATATGCAGAAAAAGGTATTACTTTGTGAGATAAGATCCTTTTAAGCCCACGATTTATAGCACTTTTGTATAGTGTTTTTTTATATATATTCTTTTATACTCTTTTCATTTTCAAATTTAATTTCAAACATCTTACTAGAAGGTTGCTTTTTATACATTGTACTTCAGTATAAAGGTAGCTATCATTTTTCTCATGTTTGTGTTTTACCTAACTCTAACCCTAACATATAAAACAGGCTCAGGTGCGCCTCCCTTTTGTTAGTTATAGTGCGTTCCACTTTCTGCCTCTATATTTTTCATTATTTTCAATGTCTTTTAAACCTTTACCAATACAATTTAAATGTCGTAACTACTAAATATATAGTTTTATTCATTTAATAATAAGATAATTTATTTTATCTTAACTTTATACCTAATTTTTCACTCCCAGGACTAATCTATCAAAAAACGAAGCTGCATTTCATGAGTACCCAAACCTAAATTTAATTCTTATCAGGAAAACATGAATTAAAATTATAAGATGAAAAGGACCTAGTGACTTACCCATAACCTTAAAATACTCAAGAAAACAAAACCAAGTAAATTGGTTAATGGTCCACCGATGCATCGCAGTGGGCAATCATGTACGTCGCTTTGTTGTGTCTCCTAACATGTACAAAGACTATGTGTGTCTCCTAACTTGTACGAAGCCTGTGTGTCTCCCAAAATATACGACGCACCTGTGTGTCTCCCAACATGTACGACGCTTATGTGTGTCTCCCAACATGTACGACCCTTACGTGTGTCTCCCAACATGTTCGAAGCCTCTGTGTGTCTCCCAATATGTACGATGCCTCGTTGTGCCTCCTAACATGTACAAAGCCTATTTGTGTCTCCTAACTTGTACAAAGCCTCTGTGTGTCTCCCAACATGTAAAAAGCCTGTCTGTGTCTCCTAGCATGTACCCCCTCCCCCGGTATGTCTCCCAACATGTACGACGCGCCTGTGTGTCTCCCAACATGTACAAAGCCTCTGTGTGTCTCCCAGTATGTACGTAGCCTCTGTGTGTCTCCCAATATGTACGATGCCTCGTTGTGTTTCCTAAAATGTACAAAGCCTACGTGTGTCTCCTATCTTGTACGAAGCCTCTGTGTGTCTCCCAACATGTAAAACAGCTTATATGTGTCTCCTAGCATGTACTCCCCCCTGTGTGTCTCCCAACATGTACGACGCTCCTGTGTGTCTCCCAACATGTACGACGCTCCTGTGTGTCTCCCATCATGTACGACGCTACTGTGTGTCTCCCAACATGTATGACGCTCCTGTGTGTCTCCCAACATGGACGACGCTCCTGTGTGTCTCCCATCATGTACGACGCTGCCGTGGGTCTCCCAACATGTATGACGCTCCTGTGTGTCTCCCAACATGGACGACGCTCCTGTGTGTCTCCCATCATGTACGACGCTACTGTGTGTCTCCCATCATGTATGACGCTCCTGTGTGTCTCCCAACAGGTATGACCCTCCTGTGTGTCTCCCAACATGTACGACCCTCCTGTGTGTCTCCCAACATGTATGACGCTCCTGTGTGTCTCCCCACATGTACGACGCTCCTGTGTGTCTCCCAACATGTACGACCCTCCTGTGTGTCTCCCAACATGTATGACGCTCCTGTGTGTCTCCCAACATGTACGACGCTCCTGTGTGTCTCCCATCATGTACGGCGCTCCTGTGTGTCTTCCAACCTATACGAAGCTCCTGTGTGTCTCCCAACATGTACGGCCCTCATGTGTGTCTCCCAACATGTAAAAGGCCTCTGTGTGTCTCCCAGTGTTTACGAAGCCTCTGTGTGTCTCTCAATATGTACGAAGCCTCTGTGTGTCTCTCAATATGTACGAAGCCACTGTGTGTCTTTTAAGATGTACGACGATCTTATCTGTGCTCCTTTATAATCACGTCATCTTGATTTTTGTATGTTCCAGGTAGAAGGTTATACATCGCGCACGTGGACCGACTGAAGCTCAGTAACAGCTCTACGGCTGGTTTGACAGCGCATTATGATCACTCAACAATTCCTACACCTCCATTGACAATGGCACAGATGTTTGAGTCACGACGCGTTACTCTACAGGAAGCTTGTGCTGAAGAGTTTAACAATAGTGTGAAAACAACAGGACGGGCTCCATCATTCTTTTATTCTCGAACAGCAAAGTTAGCTTGCTGTAGAACTCCAAAAACTGGAAGTTCATTTTGGGGGACAGTCATCTTAGCGATCGAATCTAAAAAAAACGCCGATGATACATTTCATACCAACCGGAACTCTGTCCACAACAGGAACCTAATTGGAATGCAGCAATTTCGAAACTTGACTCAAGATTCACTAAGATTGATGGTTTCCCGCGAGCCCTACACTCGACTGTTCTCCGCTTACGTCGATAAGTATTTCCTGCTTGGAGCTCTTGGTCGACAAATTAAAAACGCATTAAAGAAGGGACCATTTATGATGAATGGAGGACCATGTGGCTATGCCGTGTCATTTGTAGATTTCTTAAATTTTGTTACCGATAATGCCCTCAAAGGAGCAGACTTGAACGAGCATTTTATGCCAATTGTTAAACTCTGTGATCCTTGCAGAATGAAATTTGATATTATCAGTCGCCAGGAAACACTCACTAAGGACACACAGTTTGTTTTAGAACAACTTAAATTATCCGACAACAAGAAAACAGATCTTCAAAATTCTTTGAAAAAGGGAATTAAAAACACACTTTATGCTTTAGTGTCCTCGTATTTATCAGATTACAAGACGTACAGCGTTGACTGTCCAAATAAAGTTAGTCATTTTGAAAAAGTCTGGAAAACTCTGCAGGTGCAAGGGTATGTGAGCACGAAAGTAGCGTATCCTAAACGTGAATTTCAAAAGATGAAAACGTTCAACGCAGATGCTATAACGTTATTAATCATCAAAGAGATGGAAAGGTTTCCGTTAGGAAAAGAGGACAAGGCACTCCAGCGACGGTCTGCCGTGTCAATAGCATACGCGGATGTTGGGCAGGAAACCATTGCAAAAATTCAGAAAGTTTACAAAATGGATTTTCTTATGTTTGGTTATGAAATGACACCTCCGAACCTACGACCTGGTGCTATCACATTGTAAAGTGTAAATTCTATGGAGGCCCTAGGTAAATGTGTATGGGGACAGTTGTATAATTGTGATTCATGTTGTTGACTTTTTATGAAATCATACACATGACATATTGCTCAGAACGTTGAGGTCTAAATATTTTGGGATACATCATGGTTTTTTTTGTGAGAATGCGCTAAGTAGATTTACCTTTATCATGAATGCAACCAATTTACTGATAAAATATTTCTTTATTTCAAATTATTTGAACAAACTACATACTATTGATTGATTCTATAATGTAATGGGCATAAATATTAATTCAAACTTTTATTTTGTTACATGTACAACACATGTGTTAGATACATCTCTACCAAAGCATTGTTAGCTTGATGGTAACATTTTAACGTTTTGGGTTGATTTTTATCAACGTTTTGTACGCTTGGTGGCGCAACAGGTTTTTGGGTACAATTGTATCAAAGCATTGTTAGCTTGATGACATATACATGCAATAGTAATAATCTTGAATATATCAAATCATTGTCAACTTGATGACATATGTATGTCATAGTAATTAGTTTTCGACATTTTCAACGGTCTCCATGCAAACTTACCTTTGTTGATATTTTGCCCTTGTTTATCGATTTTCAGTAAAAAATCCATTAATCAAGGTTTACCTGTGGGTCTGTTGTCTTCAATGCCACGAATTCAGGATTGGTAATACTGAATGATTGTGAGAAACAGAGGATTAATTCACTGCATAAAACGGCAATCATGTGATACAATATTTACTATGAATGACATTTCAGAAATGAATCAAATTGGGAGCATTCACATTATTTGCAACATTTTCCGTTTTACGAGACGTCATGGATCCAATAATATCATATTTTTTGCTCACATTTATAGCATTTTCTGCCCTATTTCAAGTCACAATATTCAATTTAGACTAATGTTATGGAAAGAAAACCCCCTTTTATGATGCTAATTAACGTCCTTAGCTGATTGAAGGTTTGTTATTTCTCCGTTATTATATAACATGAAAAGGAATAAAGATATTTTTCTAACTATTTGATATGCTTATTTTTTATGGCCAGTCCTCAAACGTGATAAAATAGAAATCGGATCGAATGATACGGTGATATGGACAATGTCAAAAACAAAAGAGAAAACATCGTGACTACCACCATGAAATAAAGACAACACCAGGTGCCGTGGAGGGTTCATCCTCCCCATGTGGGCCCCGTAATGTATATATAAATAACAAAATATCACAAACAGGATTATAAGACATCATCTTAATGATAAGGAACAACAGATGATTTCCAAAGGGGAAAAAATAAAGAATTTTCAGAGAAATACAGAACAAATGTCACTAAGTCCCAATATTTTGGCCTTCTGGCCATTTTCAAGGGAGAAAGTCAACGGTTGTTTAAAGTAACGTCTAGCTTGCTTATTTGGAGGTACAGGGAATTGTCTGTACCTCCGAATGTTACTTGTAACAACCGTTGACTTTCGCTCTTGAAGACGGCAAAGAGGCCGAAATATTGGGACTTGGAGTGGCATCTGTTCTATATTTTTAAATTATACATGATCTATACTATAAAGTATACATTTTAATTATAAGGCATAAAGAATGGTCTTTAGGAATATAAGACACTGAAATACTGGTGGAAAACCGTTCATTTTGACGATCTTACTGTGTCTGCCACGTTATTTAAATCGACATGGTAGTAAACGGTAATGTAATAAATATGAAAGGAAGGCTATGTAAACTTAAATATTTCATCAAGTTTGTCAGTGAGTCGAGTTTGTCAGTGAAGGTGAGTTTGTCAGTGTTGGTGAGTTGGTCAGGGAAGGAGAGTTTGTCAGCGAGGTGAGTTTGTCAGTGAATGCGAGTTTGTCAGTGAAGGTGAGTTTGTCAGTGAGGTGAGTTTGTCAGCGAAGTGAGTTTGTCAGTGAAGGTGAGTTAGTCAGGTCAGATTAGTTTGTCGGTGCAGGTGAGTTTGTCAATGAATGTGAGTTTATCAACTTGATGAGTTTGTCAGTGAAAAAGAATTTGTCAGCGAGGTGAGTTTGTCAACGAGGTGAGTTTGTCAGTGAAGGTGAGTTAGTCAGGTCAGATAAGTTTGTCGGTGCAGGTGAGTTTGTCAATGAATGTGAGTTTATCACCTTGATGAGTTTGTCAGCGAGGTGAGTTTGTCAGTGAAGGTGAGTTTGTCAATGAATGTGAGCTTATCAGCTTGATGAGTTTATCAGTGAAAGTGAGTGTCAGTGTTGGTGAGTTTGTCAGTGAATGTGAGTTTGTCAACGAGGTGAGTTTGTCAGTGAAGGTGAGTTTGTCAGTGAAGGTGAATTTGTCAGTGAAGGTGAGTTTATCAGTGAAGGTGAGTTTGGCAGTGAAGGTGAGTTTGTCAGCTTGATGAGTTTGTCAGCTTGATGAGTTTGTCAGTGCAGATGGGTTTGTCAGGGAAAGTGAGTTTGGCAGTGAAAGTGTGCTTGGCAGTGAAAGTGAGTTTGTCAGCGAGGTGGATTTGTAAGTAAAGGTGAGTTTTTCAGCTTGATGAGTTTGTCAGTGAAAGTAAGTTTGTCAACGAGGTGAGTTTGTCAGTATGTGAAGGCGAGTTTGTCAATAAATGTGAGTTTTTCAGTGAAGGTGAGTTTGTCAGTGAAAGTGAGTTTGTCAGTGAAGGTGAGTTTGTCGAATATTGTCAAATTTCTGAAAATTGAAGATGTGTTTGTCAGCTTGATGAGTTTGTCAGCTTGATGAGTTTGTCAGCTTGATGAGTTTGACGGTGAAAGTGAGTTTGTCAATGAGGTGAGTTTGTCATTAAAGGTGAATTTGTCAGCGAGGTAAATTTGTCAGTGAAGGTGAGTTAGTCAATGAAGGTGACTTTGTCAGTGCAGATGAGTTTGTCGGTGAAGGTGAGTTTGTTAGTGAAGGAACGTTTGTCAGTGAAGGTGTTTTTGTCAGTGAAGGTGAGTTTGTTAGTGCGGGTGAGGTTTGTCAGTGAAGGTGAGTTAGTCAGTGAAGGTTTGTTTGTAGGTGTAGGTGAGTTTGTCAGCTTGATGAGTTTGTTAGTGAAAGTGAGTTTGTCAGCGAATTGAGTTTGTCAGAAAAGGTGAGTTTGTTTATGAAGGTGGGTTTGTCAGCATGATGAGTTTGGCGGTGAAGATGAGTTTGTATGTGAAGGTGAGTTTATCAGCTTGATGAGTTTGTCAGTGAAAGTGAGTTTGTCAGTGAAGGTGAGTTTGGTAGTAAAGGTATGTTTGTCAGTGAAGGTGAGTTTGTCAGCTTGATGAGTTTGTCAGCTTGATGAGTTTGTCAGTGAAGGTGAGTTTGGCAGCTTGATGAGTTTGTCAGTGAAGGTGAGTTTGTCAGTGAAGGTTTAGTTTGTCAGTGAAGGTGAATTTGTCAGCGAGGTGAGTTTGGCAGTGAAGGTAAGTTTGTCAGTGAAGGTGAGTTTATCAGCTTGATGAGTTTGTCAGTGAAAGTGAATTTGGCAGTAAAGGTGAGTTTGGCAGTGAAAGGTGTGTTTGTCAGTTTAGGTGAGTTTGTCAGCTTGATGAGTTTGTCAGTGAAGGTGAGTTTGTCAGCTTGATGATTTTGTTAGCGAGGTGAGTTTGTCGAATATTGTCAATTTCATATAAAAAAAACAATACTTACCACGTCCAATGATTATGCAAATGATCTCTAACTACCAGTTCTTTAACTGCCAAACGAAAGTTTCAAATGCCCCGCGCAAATACGAAACTACTCCCTGTCCAAACCCGACATTCGGATGTAGGATGCGCGCGCCCTTCTAACATCCTCTTTTCTTCAACCCGAAGAAACACATGAGCGTTATTTTTACCCTGGACTTCGTTGAAGTTTTCCGAGGGCGGTAGCCTGTGTCATTGTTTGTTTTCATTCTTCGTTTATTGTACCAATTTCCCTGCTATTGTTTATCTATCTTTTTTGCCTTTCTTCACCGTATTTTCGTTGTAAAACGTCGGTACCATTGCCACGTGTTTTGGTCCCCGTTCGTTTTCGTGAGTGTTTACCTTCACTTTCGTTTTAGTTTACGGTGATTTTTGTGAACTAAAATTATTTTATTTTACATTAAAGGCTGAATTGTTTGTTTATCATGAAGGACTCCTTCAAGTCTGACAAACGGGGTAAGAGGAAGAACAAGGCTATGTCCTCCTCCGGTAGTACCGGCGACCCCACGGAGAGTCTTTCGGCAGGTACCTCGTTGGCAGAGGTCCTGCCGGGTCCCAAGAGCTGGCTCTAGCCTAGAAAGCACATGTGTTGGCTATCCTGTTGCCAGGGAGGTTGGTCTGGTTGGTGAGCCCTCCTCCAGTCTCTGACTTTTTAGTCAATCCTGGATCGTCTGTTGGTGGGGATAGAGTCATGTATGAGGATCATTTGGGGTCCTCTGCTGTGATGGAGATTGGTAATTCTTTGAATTATCTGGGCCCCACAGAGTGTAGCAGCACTGCCACCTCTCATGACTCTTCACGGTCCCTTCTTTCTCTGTCCTGGTCAAGTATCCGGTATCGACCCTGTTAGGGTCGATTCCGTGCCAGCTTGCACCATACGGAACCCGTGGTCCGCGCCCATGGGAAATGGAGAAGGTGACAAGTCTGACAAGAGTTGGGCGACACCCAATGGTCTCGCGTATGAGTCCTTTGGACCTCATGCTTCGGGTACTATGCATCATGGTTTTGGTGTTTTCCAGCAGCAAACTGGTCAAATGTCTGGCCCTAGGCCTGTCATTTCTGGTTTCCCCCCGGGAGGGAGTGGCGGTTCACCTTTTCCTTTTGGTCAGGATATTCCTTCCCATTTACTCACTGGTCAGTTTGGTAAGTACTGGGGTCACTCCTTTCCTTATGGTCCTAGGGCCCCATTTCTGCAGGGATTTGGGTACAACTCAGGTTATCCTCCGGGATTTAATCAGGGTCGGGACCGGTCTCACCTTAGCAGGTTGTGGGCTTGTTGAATGCTCAGCTCCTACCCAACTCTGAGACTGGGGAGAAAGTTGTGTTTAAAAGACCTATTAGGACTTTTAGGACAACTCGCTCCAAGACCAATGTCCCCGCCTCATCTTGGCCCTTCGGAGCATAAGAGAGCTCGTAAGAGGACTTTTTCATAGAGTCTTCAGAACTCTACCTTGCCCTTAACAGTAGATACATGTACTTCAGTGTCTACTTCCAGGAAGGGTACTGAAATGGAGAAGGGGTACAGGACGATGACGTCCTCAGCCTGTCACCTGGTAGTGTGATGACTGAGTTTCAGTCAGAACCGCCTTCACCTCGTCATGATTCAGATTCTCCGGAATCTGAAGATGATGAGGAGGTGTCGGCGGAGATTGAGGTAGAGCCTGTGGTTGAGGCTGAAGCCCACCGTGCTCTGGCTGGCATGCGGGCGCTTCGCGGCGACGTGGCCAGAATCCTCGGGGAAGAGGTTTGTCCTCCTCCTGCGGCGTCTGCCAATCCGGAGGCGACAAGTCAGCTTGTTCCGCCTAAGGTTTCGGCTCGTTCCGACAAGTCTTTGCCTGAGGGTTCTGGTTTTTCCTCGTTTTTGGCTGTTGCCCATGCTAGGATGGCAGAGAAGGCTGGTTCGTCCTCTCGTGCATCTGGTGCAGCTGGCCTACAGTTGAGTTTGGCAGATTTGTCTGTGGTAAGATCCTCAGACGACGCCATTCCCAACGCCAAACTTGAGGCAACTAGCTAAGCTGGAAACCCACGAGCTTCAACAATGGCCAGGACCGGCGACTGACCAGATGGTTTTCTCTGACAAGGAACACCACAAACTGGAGAAATCCTGCGGCTTTCTCTCCAGGTACTCCCATATTTTGATTTCCTGACAATGATCCTTTTCCGTTTATCGGAAGTGACCATCGGGGAGTCAGAGGTTGATGATAGTGACAGACGGGCTGTGCAGGATATGGTGACCTCATCCTTGCACAACTGTCTGAAGGCCTCTGCAGCTTTGCAGTGTACACTGCTGGCCAATTTGGTTCTTACCATTCCAGGCCTTTGTCCTCTCCCTTCGAGGGTCCTTGGCTCTTCGGGGGTGCCCTTCCTT